TTAAATCGTTCGCAATCGACATCAGATATTTTTAGTGAACAAATTAAATTCACTGAACGATGGAAGGAAAAAAAAATTCATTTGGGAAATTTTCTTCTTCTCTAAGAGTTCACGATTTGTCGAAAAGAAACGCGATAAAATTATATTAGGGAATTAAAATCCATGTTCTTAATTTTCAGATAATTATGCATTCAATATATGTATATATAATTAACATTTTTAATTCATGTATATTATACTGATAAATTTGTGTTAATGTATGCATACATGATTTGTATCTTAATATATCGATATTTATTTAAACATATTTAAATTATATAGATAATTTACGAAAAAATATAGATAATATTAATAAGTTTCAATATAATTCTCTTTCATAAAATTTAATCCATTTATTTTCAATATAATATATCTATAATGATATTCAAATATACAATTAAATTAAAATCTAAAAATATAAAATTAAGATTTTCCCTTAAAGATAAGATAAATCCAAGATAAAACTAAATAATTTGATAAAAAAATTCTTAGAGATTTATAAAAGGAACAAAATTAATCGAATATTTAAGTGATGAAATTTATTCAGATTTCTAATTTCAAAAACATTTTCAAGATCGTTGTAACAGGTTTTCGAACATGATTTTAAGAATATATGTATCTATATGATATTACTATATTGATATTAATTTATTAAAAAAAAATATAAAAATTAAATAAATAATTAATACATTAATATTTAATAATAATATATATTTAAATGCATAAAAAATAGAGAGGCTTATTTCTTCCATTCTCTATCATTTTAATCCGTTCTAGGGAATAACGTTCCAGGGAAATTCTCGGTTTATCTCTGTTTGTCTCCATGAAATGCAATCGTTATCGCTATAGACTGAAAGCATTTATGGGGCAAGGTATATTAACATTAACATGCCGAGAATTCACGGGCATTTACGCGGTAATACGAGCACTGTGAACACTTCGACCTCTCTCGACAAATCGCGGCCGCTCGAGCGCATAATTAAATACTGGCGGCATTGAAAAGCATAATCGCGCGAAATCACTTCGAGGAAGGCTATCGTCCCGAGAAAACGATCAGAGCCAGCGAATAAGGGGGCAGAATTATTGCAACCAGTCGAACGATTGATGCGCGGACTTAACCGGAACCTTGAACAGTTTCGTTCGCTTATCGTTCGCTCATTTTCGCGTATATATGGAAGAAAATGTTGACGAAGACTGGTATTAAAGATAAAATTATGTGTGTGCCCTAACATCGCTATTGCTTATTATAATTATATATAATTAACATGCAAGTCTATTTTTCATTACCTAATGTTGTACGATAATGAGTCGATTTTACACGTAATTTATTCCTACAAGTACATTTGCATATTTTTGTACGAAATGTTTTTAAATCTTTTCAAATAATTTTTATGGCTTTTATTTTTACGCATCTGACAATTGTAAGAGTATTGTAAGAATTATCTTCAGTTAAAATGTACGCAGTAAACGTATGATAGAGTGTATGGTTATTGTAAAACATGTATTGTAGAAATATCTGTTATCTGACTGATTTACAACTTTCAAATGGATTTATATACAATCCATTCTGTTATGTTAACTCATAGCTTGTTGTGAAAAGGTTTCATGAACACTTTCAGATATCAGATTTTGATAAATCAATACCTGGATATTGACTTACAATGGTAAACAGAAATTTCTTTTAAAATTTCATTACATTTCCGAATATTTTTTTTAAAAAAATGTTACGATGAAGTATAAATAAGTTTCAATGAAATTTTAAAGCATTGTGCTAATTACAAAGTTTAAAATATTAATTTCAATCTAATAATTTATGTCAACTATATATTTTCTAATACATAATAAACATAACCTCACATAGTATACCTTGATCAAGGAACGTCTCCTTTCTTCTTTCTGTATTCTCCATAACCTCTAAAAACGCATGCAATTTAAATCCAACAAAATTTAAATATAAAAAAATTATGAAATTTCAATAAAGATATCCTAAATACAAATCGTAGAACGAAGAAAATCATATAAACACGTTTCTTTCAAAGGATGTTATCTTTCCTTCGTTGAGAAGTTAAAAACGGAACAAAGCAGACCGTCTCGATTGCCAGTCAATTGTTATTCGTCGGATGCGCTCGTGAAATCGAACTGTATATTTGCCCAGATGTACGCTATATTTCGAGGCTGGATTATAACATAACACATGAGGCAAGAGTCACAGTCAAACATAGAATCGTATCTAAAAATATCAGAATTGCAAGATAGAAATAAACTGCCCGAACAACACGAATTTCATGAGAGACATAACCTTATAGCATGTTCTTAATGAGTTTCTAATGTTCTATATCAGAATAATCAATAGACTAGTAGTATATTATGAATCATGATATAGAATGATAAAATCAGTTAGCAATTAGCATTATAATATCTTATCAAATAAGAAAAAAAATATATTAAAAATATAAATATATAAAATGAAATTTTTGTTTAAATCATATTAACATTTATAACATGATTAGGTTATGTACTTTAATCACTAATCAATTTTATAAAATTCTATCATGGCCTAAATTATTCTTAATAATTTAACATAATATACATGATTCAACGCGAAGAAAATATTTCTAACTTTCTTTGACAATGTTTTCTCTAGAAGAATGCGTTTCGACGAAAGAACGCGGTACTACTAGGTAAAAGAACATTTACTGCCTCAATTATGTTCGAGATAACTATCCTTTCTCAGTGTAAGACGGAAGAAAAGAAAATGAGACAGGTGGAAGTTATAAAAACCGGTAAAAGAAACTTGCGTAAATTGTAAGAATGAACATTACGAGAATAAGCCAACAGATTTCAATCAAATAATTAGGTTCAATCAAATGTATTTAATCCAATTTAGGAAAAAAATTCAAGAGAATTTTTAATCAATTTTTAATCAATTTCGAAAGATTTTTTTATTGTAAAATTATAAAAATTATCAAATTCCTGATTTTATATAATTTTTCTATGGTATAATGATTTATACATATTTTTCATTAATTTCAATCATTCATTTCACTTTAATAACCTGCTATTATAAAACACACAATATCTTTTGATGCATCATAATTTATTTACTTTTCCGTCTCGAAACATGTTAATTTGCTGCGCACTCAGCTTTTCTCTATCTCTTTCCAACGATATATCGCGTGCCCACGAATGATATCGAGACGGTGATTTCTCGACTCGCGACGCGTCCTCGAACGTGACGCAACGAGTGGACGAACTATTATTACATCAGGCCACGCGACGAGCAACAAGTATCGCGGTTTTTGTCAGGCATGCCAGGAACTCCAGCCATGCAGGATTCCCTTGGCGAATGCACGTGGCACTAATGCACGCTCTGACGCGCGCTCGCGCGTGTGCACGAAACATCGAAACAAGAGAGGGCATATAACAACACTGAGAAAAGCATAGAAAGTTTAACACTCCCTTATTACCGACTCTCGTTTTTCTCTTTTTCTGTTAGTTCACCAGATGTCCTTTTTTCTTCTGGACAGGACACGATATGCGCGCCTCCGAGTTCGCAAACTACTGACATGAACAATGGTTATATAGTTACACAACCGGTTGACGATTCACTGACTTTTGGAAAACTTTTGGGGACCCTTGCAATGGACATGTGTTATTTTATAAAAATTTCTACGCAGCTGTTACCCGTATATACATATTCACGCTCGATCGTTCGTCTGTTGGTGAGATAACGTAATGCGATATTTACAAGGGCATAATTTTAATGTTTATCGCAACATTTTATATAATATTTATCTATTTGTATTTTTTTTAATAGTTTTATGAAAATATTTTGGATAAATTTTATTATGTATCATGATTTAATAATTAATAATCGGTTATAAAGTTACCTAAATAATATATAATTGTGTTAAATTTTCATATTTTCTATATTTGACAGTATTAACTTTTCTAGAAATAGCGATTATCTTTTGTTTCAAAATAGTAAAAAAAACATACACACTGTGTTAATGAAGTCACAGTTTATCTCGAAAATATCTTGTATATTATCACCTTTGAATATGTTTCCTTTCAAAAAAATCACAACAGATAATATTAATGTTCCACTTGTTACACCATTCAGAAACACTTTTCTTATACACTTATCATATCATAATAATTCAATATTAAACAAAGAATTATGACACCTCACTATTATGTTAATTTTTACAATTCTAACATAAAATATATAGGCCAATGTCATATAGTTCATACTGTAATTTCACTATAATTGTATAACAAGAACATTGGTTTTTTAACACGAGCAACATGCGACACGCCCTACCCGCACAAGTCGCACACGATGATCCACCTGCCTCGATCGATCCTCGTCTCGACGCACACTGGCGCCCGATCCCGGCGGTTCAATCGATTCTCGTTCGACTCGAGACACGTGACCCTACGTTGCCCTTCCCCAGTCTACCTGTACGTGAGTCAAGCATCGGACTTTCGACAAATTTCCGTTTCGATCGAATCAAAAATCTCCAACAAAGTAAAAGTGTAATTGCCATAATCGTAAAATTTATAATAATTAGTTGTTTGATAAACTTATCAATGAATGTAAAAATGACACTTTATTGTTTGATTGGATTTTCGTTGGTAAACGATGATTCATATAATTATAAATTTTCAAGATACATTGATCATGCGCAGTTCTGACGAATAAATTTTTTAATTATTTTTCTTTCACTCATTAAAATTATAATTTTATATTAATTGATAAAATTAATTAATAAACACGCAAATCTTTTATAATAATAAATAATTTATGGATCAATAGGTTTTAAATGAAAGATTGTCAAACACAACAAATCACAAGAAGTCACTATCAACAAATCTATATTCTTTAATCAATTTTTAACAAATTTTCTTTCTTTATTATATAACCTAATATCATTTAATATACAAATCCTTATTTTATTACTTTTTTAACTTTTTCCTAACCTCCAATCAAGCTCCCAGCAACATACATTCAGGCCAGTGATTCCGGATGGAAGCCCGATGGAACGACAAAACCGGTCTATCAACCGAGCCAGGTTCGCGCAGGTCCAGTTCAATTTCAGCACCGAAGGATTCGTCGTGCACCGATCAAAGTAAGCAACACGTAACAAATCGCGATATTGACCTGCGTTTATTGTTTCTCGTATTGTTCATCAAACCAGAGAAATTCAATCATTCGGGAGAAATAAACGCGAAGTTAATCGACGATGCACCACGAGGCTGGTTAACGAGACGACTAATTCGAACGTGTTAGGTCCACGAGGAGCAGTTGCACGATGGTGGTGGTGGTAACGTGTGTGAGTAGGAGTAGCGTGAAGAGAGGGAGGGGGAGGTCCAGTCCTCACCACCCGCACTTACCAGCCGGACAATAAAGAAAGGAAAGGGAGAGGCGAACAGCCGGTAAGGAGGAACAGAGATACATTAAAAGTCATCCGACTCGTATAGCCGACAGACCAGTGTGTGGTTCGTATGGAAAGATGACCCCAGAGATGGGACTAGTATTCACTGGGACCCCAGACCGAATTAAACGCTATCATTAGTTGGAATGATGAAGAGAGGAAGCACGGATGTCGTGAATGTTTCGTCATTGGCACATTAATCTCTTTTTTGCTCATTGGGCGTTGAATTTTGATGTGTGGAGATTAACCTAGTTTTATGGGTCGAGGAATTTATAGGAGAGTAAAAAATATTTTGAAGATTGGATTCAAAGGTATTAGTTGAAAATATTTTACTAATTAGTTAAGATAAATTTCCGGAATTTAAAACAATTTAATATCGTATTATAATAATTATAATAAATGGTTGCATAATAAGAGTTTTCTATGATGCTTTTGTCAAGACAGTTTAATGAAATGATACTCAATAATTAATTATAATTAATTAATTTATAATAATTTTTAGAATGAAACTTTCTACTTTCTATCTAAAACTATCTAACTAAAACTAAATCCCAAAATTTGTAACATATATATTATAATGGTGTAATTTTTTAGTTATATTTACATGAAAATGAAGAATCAGTCCATTTTCTTTCCAAAGAAGAATCAGTCGATTTTCGAACTTTCGAAGCCGTAAAGTTCCAGGTCTTCGAAAACACACAGACGACCCTGAAGAAGAATTGAATGGCACAGACAATGAATTTACACTCGTGGAGCACGCTTGCATATAGTGAAGGTTCGTTCCAGCTGACCAGGGTCGACCATTGTCATGTTAATGAATAGAAGACACATTTTCGAGGTTAAAAGTTGCGCTTGTTCACGGATTTCGTTCTATGTAATTATCTTATACCTGAACATCATCATGTATAATACAAATTGACATGAAGATACACGAAAATAATGAAATAAAATGCAACTTTATCAAATTTATTTTTAAAATGTATATTAGATTGAATGTTTGAATCAATGGATATCATTAAAATTCTTAATTTTTATACAAATTTAAACTAATTAATTAAAATAATTAAAAAATAAAAGAACAAAATGTGATATTAATTTGAACGTGTTTAGATAATAAATATTTTTGAATAATTAGATTAAATAATAGTGAATAAATTAA